TGTCTTTAGCAATCATATCATGGAGGTGAGCACACAATTATATGATTTTTTGTTCTTTCATGTCTGATAACTGATTCCTTCGGTACCTTGTGATCACACAGGCGGGTGTACTTCTTCCATGTGGGCTTTGTTGCTTCTGAGCTAGATGGTCGCTTGTTTACCTTCAAGCTTTTAAGACCCCAGGTGCTATATCTTTTGATAGTCGGACACCATCAGCTTTTTTCACTACATTTGCTTATTCACCCGCTTTGTCTTCAGTGGTTGGGTCGGGAAGGTGAGCATCATTGAATGTCAATTGAACAGAAGAAAGTATTCTTGCATTGAGGGAGTACTTGAGTGGAGGCTCAATGTCCTTCTGCTACAAGTTGGATTTTAAAGATATATATTCATCTTTTAAGCCAAGGAGATGTCCATTTGGATCTCATCAATGATTTGTATACACTTCAGCCAGGATGCATATCTAAGCCTCTACTCATAGATGACCACTACTACATGGTTGTAGAGAGAACAGTATTTAATTTCATTTCCTTTAACTCTTTCAGCCTTCCAGTGTTTTCCCGTCTCCATCCTTTTGTTGCCAACTTTCTTCTTATTGTATATTAAAATTATAATAGTAGTCTCATGCAATGTTTATCCTTGTAATAGATTGATTCAACTCGGAATGGAATCAAGTAGGTTGAACCATGCTATGAGGTATTTTTGCAGATTGTTACTCATTAAAAAAATGTGTAATATTCCTTGCGGGTACATACCAACGCTTATGTATTCATTCTTCAATTGATGGGCATTTAAGTTGTTTCCATCATTCTGTCATGGTGCATAGTGCTGCTAAGAACATGAATATGTATACATCTATCCATGTTGTGGCTCTTATTCCTTTCCTCAGTATACCCTCGCATACTTGGTATGAATCTCATTGATCATATATATTTATATAGTGATGACATATATTTATACATATTATTAGAAACTACTGGCTAGTATTTTGTTAACAAATTTTGCATCCAAGTTTATAAGGGATATTAGTTTGTAATTTTGTGAGTGATATCTCTGCCTAGCTTTAGTATCAGGGTTATGTTTACTTCATAAAATGAATTAAACCATTTTCATATTTTTCTAAATTCTGGTATAGTTGGACTGGAATTAGTGTCTGCGCTTCTTCGAGTCTTTGGTAAATGTACCAGTGAAATAATGAAGGGCTGGGATCATTAGTTGTCAGGAGAGTTTTAATGATCTGATCAAGGTTCCCCCCATAAGATCTCGTCAGGTTTTCTACTTTCATTTAGTTTCTGTAGGAAGTGTGTTTCTAGAAATGTCACTTTATTCTAGGTTTTTAAATTTGTTGAATTCTATTTCATCATAATATCATATTATTATCCTTCCCCTCCCCCAGTTCTTTGTGAATACCATTTCATTTTTTATTTATATGTGTGTTCTTTCTTTTCCTATGTTCTCTCTTATTCTTGGGCACTGCCCAGTGTCTTTCATTACTATTGGTCATGCTGTGTTATGCCCGTCCACCCTATTTTAGATAGTCTTTCCCTGTTCAAGTTAATACCCAACACCTCTCTGTTTAGTGATTTAGCCTCTCACACTCTCACATTCCTGGTAACATGAAAGAACCCTTCTTTGTGTGAAATCTTTTCTTGACCATTTTTGTGACCTATTGTTATTGACATATTTCATTCAGCCTAATGTCTCCAGATTCATCCATAATTTGGGGTTTTTCCCCGGTTCTTCATTGTCGTCTAGTGTTGAATAGTATTTAATTTGTGTATGTTGGCCAGTCTGCTCATTAATTCATCCAAAGTATTATCTACATTTAACCATTAGCAAACTGAGGAACAAGAACTTTAAACAAGTCAAAGATCACACATTTAGTAACCAGTAAGTTGGAAAGTGAACAGATTTATAACAACACTTTTTCCATTTTACTCTTAATGAAGAATTTCACGGTTCTTTCCTGCGTACTTTTAAATGAACGAACAAGACCCCACATAATGTCAATTGCATGCCATCTTAACTCTTCAGTAATCACTGTGATCAGCTACGAAGTCAGGATGACACATTCTTCTCACTTATGAAAGACCAAAAGCTGTGTCACTCCTTGGCTCATGAATAAATAGAGTTTATTATGAAAAATCATCCTGATAAATCATCTCAAAGACTTAGAGTATTAGAATGTGCTAGATTTCCAGAATCCAAAAAAATCATCAATTTAATCTGATACAGTAAGAAAAGAAATCATCCTCAGTCACCTTCAAACACATTTTCTTAGCTTTATAATACATTTTAGATATTTTATGAATTTAAGCATATATTTTTATAGGGAAATAATATAGAAGTGTACTCATATCGTTTTATTCTTACTGGAAGTTAGAAGTAAATTCAGAATAAATGCACAACAGCTAGTGGA